GCCGCCATCTTTGCGGAAGTGCCGAGCGCAGCGCCCCGCCCCCTCTGCCCTCCCAAGACTGGAGCGCGGCCCGGCGGGCTGGCTCTCGCGAGATCTGGCGGCCGGGCGGGGCGGGGTCCGAGGAGAGAGCGGCTGGGTGGGGAGGAGCTGGGGAGGCGTCCCGCACACAGGTCTCTCTGGCGCACGAGGCTGGCCCGCGCCTGTGGCGAGCGAGCTCCGACCCAGCTGTGGGCCAGCGCGAGGAGAGGAAGCGAGGACCGCGGTTGGACGGTGAAGGGACCCCCGGACGCGCTCCGCAGGGTGACTCACGGGCGCCTCGGAGTGCCTGAGAGGGCGGGCGCTGCTGCGGGCCGCGCTGGCCCTGCCCCGCGTCGTCCCGTGGGCCTCGCCCCTCCTGCGTCCGCCGCCCCGCGGGCCCTGGCCGGTGGCGCCGAGAAAGTCTGCGCCTGCGCATCGCTCTGTTTGCCCGGAGCAGAAGTCCGTCTACACCGAGAAGTTATTAACAAAACTTTCCGTCGTCTACACCGAGAGGTTACTAACAAAACCTTCCGTCATTCGCGTAACCTGGACGCGCCCTTCCATAAGCCGTTCTAAGTAACGTCCATCCTGTAGACTGCTCCTGTTTTACAGAATGTGTGAGCTCTCCTTATCCCTCTTTGGCAGCGAGCAGAATTTTAACATTAATTAATAAAATCAGTTTATTCTTATTGTTCCGGGCACTGCCTATACGTATCCTCAGCACTTTTTATTATTATTATTATTTTTTGAGACGGTAAGTTTCCGAGACTGGGCTTGCACTTACAGCCCTCTTTTCTCAGTCTGCCATCTGTTCTCTTTTTTTCCCTTTGTCCCTTCTTTCCTTTGCCTCTCCCCCGTCCCAGCTCCCCTTCACATTTGAACATTTTCTTCCCATTTCCCCAGGTCTGTTACACATTTTGGTCCTTATTTTCCCTTTCAGTTTATTACATCAGAGGAACAAAGTGATACTTAAATGTGTGTCCGATTTACTTCACTTAAGAGTGTAGGCTCCAGGTGCATCCATTTAGCTAGAAATGTCTCAAGTTTATCCTTCTTTATGGCAAAATAGTATTCCATTGTATTAAAAAACCCTACAGCTTCTTTATCCACTCCTCTGTTGATGGACATTTAGGCTGTTTCCAAGATTTAGCTATTAAAAAACTGTGCTGCTATAAACGTGAGTGTGTATACCACTGTGGTATGATGCTTTTAGTTTTGGGAAGATATGCAGAAGGGGGATAGCAGGTCAGATGAAACCTCTAGCTTTAGTTTTTTTGAGGAATCTCCACACTGTTTCCACATTGGTTGTACCAGTCTACACTCCCACCAACAGTGTATCAGTTGATTTCTTGATAATAGCTATTCTCTCTGAAGTGAAATGGAATTTCAGCGTTGTTTTAATTTGCATCTCTTGAATGAGCAAGTGATGTTGAACTTTTTTCAAATATTTATTTGCCGTTTCTACTTCTTCATCTGAGATGTATCTATTCATTTCAGATGTCATTTTTGGATTTTTTTAATTTAAATTTGGGGTGTGATTTTTTTTGAGTTCTTTATTCTAATATTAGTCCTTTGAGGTACAGCTGGCAAGAATTTTTTCTCACACTATGAGTTGTTTCTTCACTGTTGGTTTCTCTTGCTGTGTGAAATCTTTAAAATAAGGTGAGATCCCAGTTGTTGATTCTTTGTGATAGTTCCTGTGTGGTTAGTGTTTTGTTCCTAAAGTCTTTGCCTACACTTAAGACTTCAAGGAACCTATTATATCTTCCAGCAGATTTAGTATTTCTGTTTTAATATTTAGATCACTGATCCGTTTTGGTTTTAGTTTAGTGCATGGTGAAAGATATGGATCTAGTTTTTGTTTGAGTATTTGTTTTTGAGACAAGGTCTTGCTATGTCATTCAGCCTGGCTATTCATTGTGTAGCTTAGGCTGGCCTTCAACTCAAGGTAATTCTCCTGTCTCAGCTTCCCCAGTGCTGGGATTGCAAGCATGTGCTGCCATGCCTGGCAATTGACCTAGTTTTAATCTTCAGCATGTGAAAAGCCATTATTTCAAGCACCATTTATGAAAGAGGCTGTCTTAATTCCAGGGAACATATTTGGCACCTTTGTCAAAGATAAGGTGGCTAAGTATGTCTGGAGTTCTTTCTGCATCTTCTACTGTGTTTCATTGATCCTTAGGTCTGTATTTTTGCCAGTATCATACTGTTTTTATCACAGTAGCTTGGTAGTATAATTTCAAGTCAGGGATTGTGATGCCCCTGCTTTGACTTTGTTGCCCAGAACTTTTGCTATTCTAGGTCTGACCTAGTTCCAAATGAATTTTAAGATCATGTTCTCCAATTCTGTGAGATATGCTCTTGGTATTTTGATCAGGATTGCATTAAATTTGTGTAACAATTTTGGAAGTATGGACATTTTCACTATATTGGTTCTTTCTATCCATGACCAGGGAATATCTTTCCATTTT